TGGGAGGGCCAATGTTTAACTCCCCTCACAAGGATCGTGGTCTCCAAGGGGGGGAGGAAAATCGAGGACCCCCCCTCTTTTGACCGACCGCCTCCAGGATGGCCCCAAGAGGCGCTGCAGTGCTCCCAAGAGGCCCCCAAGAGGGCTCCAAGAGCGCCCCAAGAGGCCCCAAGAGGACTCCAAGAGGCACCCGGGAGGCACCCAAGAGGCCCCCGAGCGGCCTCAGAGAGCCCAAGATGACCTCCAAGATGGCTCAGATAGCCCAAGCTGACTCAAGATGGCTACCAAGATGCTCCAAGCGGCCCCAAGACCGCTCCAAGACGGCTCGAGATGACCTCGGAGCCTCCCAAGCCTCCCTCGTTGTTTGACTATGCGTGTCTCCTCCTCTCTCTCCCCCCCGTCAACTCTCATGGACCCGACACGGCAAGGATGCTGCAACATCTCAACCCATCGTGCGTCGGGCCGATCCCAGGCTGGCGGGACCTGGGAACGAGATGGGACCTTGGCCTGCCGTATGTTCAGGGCGTGGGATCCTGAATCGCCCGAACTAAATAAACTTGTCTCTGTCGAGAGGATTGCGACGGGCGGGACCCCGCCCAGTCCACGCAGTGAGGCTGCCTTGCTGGGCTTCTGAGGAGGCGCCCTCTGCTTCCGCCGGCCTTCCGCCCCGGCCGGCCGCCGCCTTCGGCATCCTTTCTGCCGCTCTGCCGCGGCCGGCCTCCGCTGGCGAGCGCCGCGGTGCAAATCCCAGGATGTCTCACAGACCCGATGCAGCGCGGCCTGCGATTGCCATGGCGCACAGAGTCGCAGCCACAGTGGGTCGCGGCGCTGAGATCCCAGGAACGGGGTTCTAGCGCGGCGTAGGATTATCAGACAGTCGTCTTTCAACGGGGCACCCCCCGCAATCAAGACAAGTTGCACAGATGGGACAGGGCGAAGAACAACCCGTGTTCCCGAGAAAAGGGCGCTGCAGAGAAAGCGTCACTCTATAAACCATCCCGACTGTAGAACACAGTAAGACCCTTCCCCAGGGCAGTTGGTCAACACAGGTTTCTAAAGATTGCCCCTAGTCACCCTTCCCGAAAACCTCCTGGCCTGGGGGAGGTTGGTTCAAAAGTGGTACGACCTGTCGATCTGGGCGCATTCCCCAAGCGCGCGGCGGTCCCCGATGGAGTGGGTGACTAAACCAAGATATCAGTTTTCCGAGATTCCCGACGCATTCTGGACAAAGCTGCAGGGGTGCGGCAAAACGGCGGGGGGCGGGCCCCACCGATCCCTCGTGTCCACTAGGGGGGGGCGTATATCGGAAAGAGCGTGTTATACCGCTGCTGGCGGAAAACCGGGGGGGGGGTCACTACCGGTTCGAACCCCCCCCCCTCCGGAAAACCGGGGGGGGTCACTGCCGGTTCGAACCCCTCCCCCCCCCAGTCCATCATGAAAAGAGGGAAGGTCACTACCGGTTTGAGCCTCCCCCCCCCCCCGGAAAACCGGGGGGGGGGGTCACTGCCGGTTCGAACCCCCTCCCCCCCCTCGAAAACTGGGGGGGTCACTACCGGTTCGAACCCCCACCCCCCTTCGCCGCCGGGCCGGGGAGAGTGGGGACATTAACAAACTGCTGGGGGCACTGGTGGGGACAGCGGGGACAATGGCGGGAACAGTGGGGACAGTGGGACAATGGTGGGGACGGTGGTGGACAATGGTGGGAACAGTGGGGACAGTGGGACAGTTGTGGGGACGGTGGTGGTGGGGACAGTGGTGTGGGGACAGTGGGAATGTGGTGGAAACAGTGGGACAGTGGAGGGTACAGTGGTGGTGGAGACAGTGGTGAGGGCGGTAGCGAGGACGGCGGTGGGACTATGGGACAGAGGTACAGTGGAGACAGTGGTGGGGACAGTGGGGACAGTGGTGGGAACAGTGGGACAGCTCAGTGGGACAGCGGAGGAGACAGTGGCACAGTGGGGACAGTGGGGACAGTCGGGCAGTGGTTGGGGCCGTGGAGAAAGTGGGGGAGAGGGAAACCGTGGTGGGAACAGTGGTGGGGACAGTGGGGACAGTGCGACAATGGTGGGGGCGGTTTTCCAGAGGGGAGGGGGGGGGAGGGGTTCGAACTGGTAGTGACCCCCCCGGGTTTTCTGGAGGTGGGGGGGAGAGGGGTTAGGAGAGGGGGGGTTCCAGCAGGGGGGGGGGGGATTTTCGGAGGGGGGGGAGGGGGGACCCCCGGGTTCCAGAGGAGGAGGGGGGGGAATTTTCCACAGTAAAGCGGCGGTGGATCACGCTCTCTCGTATATCGATACATCTCTTTTTTTAATCACTACTAGTAGGAACCCATGAAGAGGGAACTTGGAGGGAGGGCTTACTGCAACATCGTTGACGCGTCTTGGGCTTGCACTGGTCCTCCTTTTCCTCCTTGTCGTCGTCGCGATCCTCGTCCTCCTCTTCCTCCTCCTTGTCCTCCTCGTCGTTGTCGTCACCGTCACCGCTGTCGTCATTGTCGTCGCCCTCGCCTCCACCTCCTCCTCCTCCTCCTCCTCCTCCTCCTCCTCCTCCTCGCCGCCGCCGCCGCCGTCGTCGTCGTCGCCGCCGTCGTCGCCGTCGTCGTCGTCGTCGCCGTCGTCGTCGTCGTCGTCGTCGTCGTCGTCGTCGTCGTCGTCGTCGTCGTCTCGTCGTCCTTGTCGTCGTCGTCGTCGTCGTCGTCGTCGTCGTCGTCGTCGTCGCCGTCGCCATCGCCATCGTCGGCGTCGGCGTCGGCGCAGGGCGGGGCCACCGATCGCTCCTTCGAGCGGGCGGCGCAGCCCGCGCCGCCCGCGCCGCCGGCGGTGGGGCCGCCGCCGCGGCGCGCGGCGCCCGCGACGACCATGGCGCCCGCGGCGCGCGGCCCCCCCCCCCCCCCCGGGGGAGAGCTCTGCCCAGACATCCGACGATCTGATCGTTGCAACTGTGTTAGCGAGCACTCCTCTCTCCTCTTCCTCCTCCTCCTCCTCCTCCTCCTCCTCCTCCTCCTCCTCCTCCGCCTCCACCTCCTCCTCCTCCTCCTGCTTTTCCTCCGCCTGCGCCTCCTCCTCCTCCTCCTCCTCCTCCTCCTCCTCCTCCTCCTCTTCCTCCTCCTCCAGCCGTTTGGGCCCCGACCGTCCGAGGTGCTGAGGCGCACCACGGGCTTTTGTGGCCCCCGACAATCTCCACGCGATTTCGGCTGGGATCGACAGTCCCCGAGGCGGGATCCAGATCACAAATAGTCGGTAGCAAAACGATGGGCAAGAGCAAGCGCTCTCGCATCGCGAAGAAGCAGCAGGAGGTGCAGCCTGGGGACCCATGGCCGCCGCTCCCGCTCCGTCCTGGGCCTCAGCAGGCCGCGCCGCGGGGGAGCGGCATCGGGTGGGCGCCATGGCATGTGCCTCAGACGTGGTTCGTGCCGCCGCCGCCGCCCCTGCCTGGGGCTGTGCGGCACCAGCGTGAGTCTCCCCAGGCTCAGGACACCAAGGTGAAGTGCTCGGCGTGTCTGCGCTGGGCCTGGACCAGTAAGTTGGCGATGTATAAGAATACGTGCCTCTGCGGGGCGCCTTTCAGCAACCTTCCGCCGCCTGAGGCCGACGAGGGCGGTGGCGGGCCCAAGCAGGGCAAGGGCAAGGGCAAGGGGAAGGACCTGGGCGCGTTGGAGGCGCAGCTTGAGGCGGTCATCAAGGCGCGCGGCGGCACCGAGCAGGCGAAGGCGGCCCAGGCACTGCTGGACGCCACTCGGGCCGCTGGCAAGAAGACGGACACGGCGCTGCCGATCACGCAGCAGGTGACGGCGGCGGCGTCGAAGGTGCAACGGGCTCAGTCGGCCTTCGACAAGGCCCAAGCTCAGCAGTTGAAGTTGACCAAGGAATTGGAGAAGTGTAAGAAGACGCTCCTGGATGCAGCGCAGACGTTGGCACAGGCTGAGGCGGAGAGGGCCACCCTGTTCCGCTCCATGGTGCCAACGGATACGGGCGGTGGCGCCCAGGCGAGCAACACCATCGATTTGTCGGCGCTGTTGTCGGCGCAGTCGGTGGACGACTCGCTGTTTTCCATCTCTCTTGGTGCAGAGTTCAATAATGAGGACGGGCTCATTGAGCAAAAGGATATGGAAGAGCTGGATCGTCGGAAAAAGGCTGTCATGGAGGCGCTGATGCACACCTTGAGGGCCACTTTCGGCGAGGCTCACGAGAAGCTCAAGGAGCATCGCGACAACCTGTCGGCGATGCGCGAGAAGGTCGCCAAGCGGCGCAGGGAGCACTCGCCTGGGCCACCTCAGGGGGCGGAGGCGACGGGAGATAGCCCTGCGCCTACGGCGGCCTCGGCCGACCAGGCAGCCTCGGGCGCAGCCGCCAGCTCGGCGGCAGGCGGCTCTGCGGGCGACGGAGGCGAGCCCGACGCTGTGGAGGCGGCGCGCCTGGCTGCTCTGGAGAGCAAGCTCAAGGCGGACGCGGAGGCTATGCTGGCGACGGCGCGCTCGGCGGCGGCTACGGCTGGGCCGCCGAGCCTTTAGCCTCTCGGATCCCCTCGATCGTGGCGGGCCTGATGGTCGAGGGGCATGCCCGCCAGCTACGAGTTCGAGTTCGGCCCCTACAAGTGCTGGCGCTGCTGCGGACGCTCTGGCCACTGGGACCCCCTCACCCCCTTTCGTTGCAGCGCGTGGGCGTGAGCCCTGTCCGCAGTCGACGGTGTCGACTGTGGGGACCGCTGAAGGGGGGGAGGCGTGTGGTCTCGGTGGCCCCGCGGCTGTGGTGGCTTCGTCGTCTGGGACTTCCAGTTCGTGTACAGACCTGGCAACCGCAGGCCCCCCCCGCCGCTCTCCGAGCGGTCTCCAAGGGGTTAAAGGGGGGGAGCGCCTTCTCGGGGGCCAGGTCGGATCGGATGCAGTTTTGACCCGCCGTACGCTGTACATGCGGAACTTGGGTGGATGGGGACCTGCTACGCGATCTGTTTGTCGAGGTCGTGCCGCTGATATCCTCGTGTTTCCTGAGACCCATGTTCCTGAGGCTGGATCATACGAGTTGTTGCATGATTGGCGCAAGGCAGGATACATCGGCATGTTGTCTGCTGCCTACGAGCAGAACGGGAAGTCTCGTGCAGGTGGCATTACTATGGGCACTTTGAAGAAGTATAAGGTTCAGTCGATGCGGCATTTGGCGTCGTCGCCATCGGACCAGGTCGGGCTTCGTGACCTGGATCGGCGTCCAGAGGCCATGCCAGGCATCGATTTCCGTGATATGGTGGCTATGCAGCTACGGGCCCAGGGCCAGTCGTTGTTGATCGTTGGTGTGTACATGACCTCTTCGATCGGGCCGAAGGCAAACGCTCCCAAGCTCGCTAACGTTGGCACTTTGGTTTCGACGGTGCAAGGGCCGTGGCTAGCCATCGGTGACTGGAATATGACCCCAAAAGAGTTAGCTGGTACGGGGTGGTTGGGTCTTGTGAATGGCAGTGTGATCGTTCCGTCTAACACTGATTACACGTGCACGTTGGGTTCAGGGCGCATGTTGGATTATATCGTGGCTTCTCCGCATGCATTGCCGTGGGTCGAGTCTCTCTCAGCGGATTTTCAGGCGGTGGAGGGGGCGGGCAAGGCCCATTATGGGCTCCAGCTCAGCCTCAACTTCGACGCCTGCCGTGCCAGAGCGTGGCTCATGAGGTTGCCGCGAACTTTCCCACACCCTGCTCGGCCTAAGCTGTGCGCTGACCCCGATAGCAAGCGTTCGCGGAAGAAAGCGGAGCAGCAAGCGGACCGAGAAGTTCAACCCCAGCCGAGTGTCATGCCCGCTCCGTCGTCGTGGGGGCCGAGGCGCAAGCTGGCCATCAAGAGCCCGCCCCCGTTGCAGTACGCCCTTTTTGATGAGGAGGATGACGAGTTTTTCACGGACGGGGAGGACACGGACGTCCCTGAAGATGATGATGATGTGCAGGTGGCCGTCTCTGATTCGGAAGTGGACACGTATGCCTCGACTCAGTTGGAGTGGTCGTCGGAGGCGAAGGATCTGTTGTGGCAGCAGGTGGCGCCCTCAGTTTCGCGTCGACCCGTTCCTGATTTTGTTCAGCAGTCGTTGGCGTTTCAGGCGGCCGAGGAGGAAGCTTATGACCTCGGGGATGTGTTCGCGTCTTGGGTCTCAACCATGGAGTTGTATGATCTTGAATTGTATAAGGTGGACCCCTTGGCGAGGAGGCAGTACCGTGGTCGTGACTCCTTGCGGGGCCCTCAGTTGGGAGTCTATGCTGGAAGTAAGCCTTACCCCACTGCCGCTGATCCTAGTGCTCGCTGGTGGGCCTCGGTGGCTAACCTGTTGGAGGAGTTGGTGGGCCAGAAGGGGGATAAGCGCAATCTCCCTCGGGCTCGGCATCTTCGCGACCAGCTCTCGCAGTTGGCTGGCTCCATCCCGTCCACGCAGATCGTTCCCTTGCCTGCCCGTCGTCGTGATCGATGGCTTCGCGGTCTACGAACTCTGGATGGGGCGACCTCGGAGTCTTTGGCGGCCTTCGCTGCTGGGGCGCGCAGGGCCTCGGACCAGGCCCTGCGCGCTGTCGCTCGGCAGCGTCACCATGCTTTTCGTGATTGGGTCCATCAGCAGGCTGTTCTGGGATGTGGCGCTCTGCATCGGTTTGTGCGTGACCCCACGGCCGAGGTCAGCGAGGTCAGAGTGCACGGCGATACGTCTTTTGATGCGGCCTCTGTGATGGAGGCCAAGGCGGCGCTCTGGAGTGCGATATGGACGCCATCCAACGTCGTCGACGACCAGGCGCTCCGCGTGCTGCAGCGGGCTCGGCGGCTGGCGCTTCAGGACGAGATGGAGCCCCTCACCCTGGTCCAGCTGGAGGAGGCGCTCCGCGCTGTGCCGCCTCGGAAGGCGCGCGGCATCGAGTCGGTCGGCCAGCGGGACGTCTGGTGGCTGCCTGAGTCTGGCCGCCGTGCGCTGCTCGATTTGTTTCATTTGATCGAGGCCAAGGTTGCTTGGCCTTGGCAGTGGCTCACCGCTATCGTTGTTCTGCTTCGCAAACCTGATGTGCGCAAGGATCGCGCCATAGGCTTGCTCACCTGGTTGGGTCGTTTGTGGAGCCGCATGCGGTCTCGCCCTGCGGAAGTGTGGGCTGCGGCTCGCTCTGGTCCTTGGGACGCCGCAGTTCGAGGCAACAGCGCTCTACGAGAGGCTCTGCTCAGGTGTTATGCCGACGAGGCTGCACTTGCCTCAGCCCTGCCTGAGTATTGCTCTGCCTCTGTTTTGTGGGATGTGGAAGCGTTCTATGACACTATTCGATGGGACCGCGTGGTCGACCATGCGATTGATCTGGATTTTCCTCCGCGCCCCCTAGCCTTGGAGGGTATCCTTCACATGGGGCCTCGGCTTTTGAGGGATGAGGGGGTTTTTGCTCCGCCTATCATTCCGCACGGAGGGCTTGTGGCTGGAGCTCGCAGGGCCCCCGATTTCTCAAAATGCCAAATGTTCGAGATTTTTGAACGTGCGTGTGCCAGCAGTGCTCTTGTTTCCCTCCGTACGTGGATCGATGATGTCACCCAGCGTGCGGAAGGTCTTAAGCGAGATGTCATTCGTGAATTAATCCAAGCTGGGGCTGTTTTTGCCTCGGGCTGCGAACAGGAGCAGCTGAGGATTGCTAGCAAGTCGATTATTGTGGCGTCTGAGCTTTCGGTGGCGCGGGCTATCCAAGCTGGCCTGGGATTGAAAGGCATCCAGGTCGATGTGGCCTCGGTTGCGGCGGATCTGGGCATTGAAAGGGGCAGTGGCGTTTCTGTCGCCAAGCCCCGCCACTCGAAGCGTCTCAGGCAAGCCACTCGTAGGGCGTGTCGTATCCATAAGTTAGCTGCTGTGGCCCCTCGGAAGATCGGGGCGCGTTTGATCCTCACTGGGGCTTTGCCGCAGGCGTCCTACGCCTGGAAGGTTTTTGGGGTCGCGCCCTCGGTCCTCCAGAAATGGCGACGGGCCTTAGCCAGCAGCTTAACTCGAGGCTTGGCGGGGCGATGTCTCACGACCCTGCTGGCCTTGGAAGTTCAAAAAAAGGACCCTGCTTTCACCGCGGTGTTTCAGCTTCTGGAGTCCTGGTTTCAGATTGTTGCTGCGTTGCCTGAAAAAGGAGTGGACCGCATGCGTGCCTGTTGGTCTGCCACGGTCGAGAGGATCGATAGCTTGGGCCCCCAGCGCAGGTGGCATAATATAAAAGGACCTGTGTCTGCTGTGGTCGCTACCATGACGGCCGCGGGATGGAAGCTCGATGGGCCTTGGTCTTGGGTCGCTCCTGGGGGTGATGTCTTCGCTGTTCCCGATGAGCTTCGCTCCCAGGCTTATATGACGTCGGATTTTAAAAAGGAAGTGGACCGTAGCATTGAGGCGCGTTTATGGTCTGCTGCCGCCGATTTCCGCAATGGAGGGGGTCTTGCATCAGGCGTCGTCCTCACGATTGCTTGGCGGCACCTTGCGTCCTTGCGTAGGAAGTCGCCTCAGAAGGCTGGCTTGCTTAGGGCTGTCCTTACTGGGGCCGTTTGGACGAGGGGCCGTATTCAGGCTTCTGGGGGAGAGTGTGAGCTCACCTGCCCCCGTTGCAACTCGGCCCCCGAAACGGACGTCCACCGGTTCTGGGAATGCCCGTGCAACAGTGAATTTCAGGAAGTGGACGATGGGTTCGCGCGTAAAGCAGCCTCTGTGGCTGCCGATTTCCCATGTTTCTGGCTTCGCGGTCTCGTGCCCCGTGAGTGGACGTCCGTCCCTCCGCCTCCCGACGACCCCATCCTCCGTGCCGCTGGTGTGTTTCCTGGGCCTCGGGGGGGAACTCGCATCTGGGGCGCGGGGGATGCGAGTGGTGGGGAGTTCACGAGGGATAAGCGTCTCAGGCGGGTGTCATGGGGCGTCGCGGTTTTTGGCCATGATGTTCTAACCCTGCCCCCACAGGTGTCGGATGCCGACATTCAGTTTATCCAAGGGGGCGGGATCTCTGGTAAGCAGTCTGTGAATCGAGGTGAGCTCTGGGCCCTTTTGGCTTTTTTGGAAGGAGCTGACCCCCAGGCGTGTCTTGGATACGTCGCGGACTCGGCCTATGTTGCGAGGGGATTTGCTCGCATCCAGGCTGGCCTTTTGCAGCGAATTCAGACCCACGTTGATCTCTGGAGGCGTGTCCTGAGCGCTCTGGAGCGTCTGGGGGATGTGGTTCTCATTCAGATTCCGAGTCACCTCAAGGTTGAGGAGGCAGTGAGCCGTGGATTAAATCCTGGCGTCGTGCTGGCGACTGCGGTGGCCCATGATGTTGCGAGCCACTTCGCCCAGCAGGTTAAGGTTCCATACGCTGTCTCGGCTCCCGTCAGGTTCGCTGATGGGTTAGCTCGGAAGGTGCAAAATCATCTGCTTGCTGTGATGTCAGATGTTTTGGAGCGTGAGGGCGGTCGCCCTCCCCGCCCCCCTAAGGAGACGGTTCGGAGAACGGCCCGCCAGCTCCTTCGCGCTGCGGCGGTGAAGTCCTCTCATAAAGGCCCCTTGCTTTGTGGGGATTTCGCCCAGTGCCAGAGGTGCGGTTGCTCTTCAACCGCCCGTGACCTGACATCGTTTTTGAATTCGCAGTGTACCCCTATGGAATGGTCTGGCGCGGTCTTTCGACCGACGGCTGCTGTGTGTGTTCGCAGTCGGCTTGTGGACCCTTCCCATGCCTTGGCGTTTTGGCCTGAGGCGAATGTGCTGTGGTGTTTAACTTGTGGGGCGTATTCGACCCAGCACTTGAAGGACTTGGGTAAGGTCTGCTCGGGCCGCCTCGGGAAGGCGGGGGCCCAAAACCTTTCCAGGATCGCCCAGGGCATGGTCCCTGGGAGTTTGGTTTGGGGGAAGGAGCGGAGGGAGAGGGCTTGCGCGAGAGGCGGGGTGGGAGAGAGAGAGAGAGAGAGAGCGGCGAGTGCGGCCCCGCGTGCTCGGCGCGCGGCGCCGTTCGGGTCTGCCGCGGTCGCGGCCGACGTCTTCGCGGCCGTGGCCGCCAACAGGCGCCGCCCCGCCTCTCTCCCCCCCGCCCGCGCGCCCCCCTCCGCCCCCTCTGGTCCCCCGCCAACCTCGGTGGCATAGGCTGCCATTGTGGTTGGCCCTTTTCTCTTGTCCTTGATCATCATGATCGCTCGCTATATACTCTTCCTCCTCCTCCTCCTCCTACTTCTCTTCTT